AGAACTCATGTTAAATGGCAGTCTTGTGAAATAAATTCATAATTAATAATTAATTAATAAAGAGAACCATGAATGGACTAATAATGAGAATACATCAAAACCCAAAGATTTGCTGGGGATTATGGTACACACTTGTAATCAGAACACTCCGAAGGCTAAGGCAGGTAAGTTGTCATAAGTTTGAGGCCAACCTGGGCTACATAGTGAGTTCAAAGCCGGTCTGAACTGCACAGTGAGACTTTGTCTCAAAAAACACAAAACAGGACCAGGGATTTAGCTCAGCGGCATAAGCGCCTGCCTTGCAAGCATGAGATTGTGAGTTTTGAGCTCCAGCCCCAGTACAAAAAAACCCCAAAAAACAAAAATCCTACAAAAGAAACAAACAAATAAACAAAAGCCCCCAAGCTCCCAAAGATTAAATTATAATTAATCTAATTCTAGATAATATGTTATTAGAAAAACCCTTCTGAGGGTTGAGTCTAAACACTATAAACAATAATCACCAACAATTACCGAATATGACTACGTGCAGGTAGTGTGCTAAGTGTTTTACAAACAATAGCTGGTGTAGTCCTTTTCACATCCTTATGAGGTAGATAGTGATATTTTCTTTTCAATTTTAGAAAGGAGGACACTGAGTCCCAAAATTCTGTGAAACCAATATGGAAAGTTAATAATCATCCTTATCATTGTTTTCCAGTCATAAATGTCCAAATATTTAATAGTACACATGCTCCTGGTCATGAAAGAGACATGGTGTTGGGGTAGGAAGTGTGTAGGTCTTGTAGTCAACCAAAGCTCTATTCAGTGCATCACTACCACTATTAGCTGCATGATTTGGGGCAAGTTCTTCAATCTTTATCCATCTTTAAAATGGAAGATGACAGTTCTTACACTTCACTGTTGTTTTGGAGGCCTTGTTTAACCACACATTATCATTTCATTCCTTTTCTTATCCTCAATATGTTTGGAGACTATAGAAAAGGAGAAAGGCTAGGATTGGATCTGAAACTTCAGTGATTGATCACTTTTCTGTTTCCTTTTTTGGGCATATGGGAGGTACCCGGAATCAGACTCAGGACCTCTTGCTTGCCAAGCAGACACTGTGCCACTGAGCTATTTCCTTGGCCCTGAGAACTTTTCTGTTTGGAAGATGAGCATGAATGATCTAGAACTTGTTATTCCTGGCAATTATTTTGTGTGATTGTTGACAAGTGATGGGTAGCTGATCACAGAGCAACACTGTGTAAAGTTCCTAAGACACATTTCTCTTTGAGTTGCTTCTTGTTATTTCTTCCATCTAGAAAATAAACTTCTTTGCAGGGCCTTGACACCTCTGGCCAGGATATGTCACTATGAGGTAATCAAAGGAGAGAATCTCAAGAAATGTCCTTTGCCCCACTCTTCTTACTGATAGCAAAGGCAAAAACGGGCAGTGTAAGGCTAGACAGGGCCACACAGCTCTGCTCTTCCCATCACTGCTCCCTAGCATTTCCTTTCTCAGATCATGGCAGGGTCACACCCATGTGGGTGTGAACTTGAGTGATAACTTGGAGGTTTGGTCACTACTTTTTTCTCTGTTTCTAAACTTCCAGATGCATATCTGAGTCTTCATTTGGAGCAGGGCAGTCAGAAGAGTCAGGGAAACAAGATCTGAGCAGAAAGGAAAAGAAGGTCCCATCTACACCTCCACTTCCCCTCCTCTCCCATAGTCCCCCAGCCCAAGTCAGTAAGTTGGAGGTGTTTACTTATCCCTCTCCTTACCTCTTCTCCATGCCTCTCCCCAGTTCAAACTGGTTCACATAATCTTCCAGATCTAAGAAACTAACTGTGAAATATCTTTGTGATTATAGTTTATACATTTAATTAGAAGCTGAGAATTAAGCCTCCAAACACCACAAAATGAAAGCTTAAGATTCTCCCAACAAAACCCCAGCTTTCCATGAATGTGGGCTGACTCATCCATCTGTCTTCTGTGCTTCTCTTCTTCTCCCCAACCCTTGTCTTTGATGCTGAGGTCATCTACTTTCTACACCTGGATTTGGAAAACTGCTGAGATCTCACTGGGCCTTGTTCCAAAGTTGTCCTTCAAAGATAGGGCCATGGAGGGTGGTTACTTGTCACAGAGAGGCAGGAGAAAGTCATACTTGCTGAGTTGGGAGTTTCACAAAATCTGTTAATGTTAAATCTTTCAATTTGTTAATGGCAACAGACTACAAACATATGATTAAATATAAAGCAAGAGGGACTTCTTATAATTTGATTTTAAATGTATCTGACTGAGTGATATCAAAATATGTGACATTTCATTTAATAGAAAGAGATCAAATGGTATGATTTTCTAGCTATTTTCTGGCTTTAGAGCCCCATGAAAGAATGTTTCTTTTCTTGCATTTGGTGGGAGTTGGATGTTTGTTGATTTAGCATATGTTGAAAATATTTTGGCTTTGGAAAACTGCACTGATAGCTTTTTCTCTCTAGTTGAAATTAATCTCATCTTCCTTTGGCTCTCAGCCTGTGATTCATGGTTCTAATACAACACTTCTTTTTTCTTTTCCACTTTTAGCAACTTTTATTTCTATTTGTCTCCTACATCAGAAGTTTTGTGTGGAGAAGAACTCTGCTTTACGTACCTTTATAATATTTGCCTGAGTCTAATCTGTTGTATATGTTGGGCACTCAACCCATGTTAATTTCTGAAAAGTCACATTGGGAAGGGGACTCTGAGCAGGCACAGCCACTATTCTACAAAATTCAGTTGATGTCCCGATCATGTCTTCTTGGCTACCACAGTGTTCAACTCTAGACTGAGCTACTCTAGAAATGGACAATTTGCTGTTCCTCTTTGCCAGAGGATTCTTTTTAGCTGTAGGAGTGAACCTGGGAGCATGCAGGTTAGGCTGCAAGGACAAGGAATGATTGTCTTAAAAATAACCTTTGATCAAGGAGGGACAGGGCTGGCTGGCTGGATAACCCAGCATCCCTGCCTTCATTCTGAGGATTATTTTACACAGCCCCCAACAGATTTTCTTATGGGGGAAGCCCTAGCTGTTCATAGCTTTTTAACTTATTCTTTTTAGTGTCTTTCCCTTCCCTGTCTATGTTTCCTCATAATGTCACCCCCAGAACCACAGCCAAATAAACCACTTTATCCTAATGAGGAAGTACCATGGGGAACCCAAAGAACTAAAACTAAAATACATCACAAATAATGGTTGAGCAAGTAATAAGAGTGTAGATCAATAAATAGCTTTTGACACCTCTGTTTCCAGAGTAGAGAAAGCTTGGAAAGTGCCAAAGCCACACAGTAGCATCCTGTGATGGGGCTTGCGAAAAAGGCAGAGGAAGAGGAAACCCAACCAGAAAGGCTGCAGGTAAAGAAGTCTAAGGCCAAGCTTAGAACAGCAGATGAAGGGCCTTGCAGTACTTGCCAGTATATCAGACAAACCAAATGAGGAACATGGAAGAAATAGCTCCTAGACCCATGCTCCCCAGGATCTTCAGGAGAAGGAGGAGGCAGAAACTGCCAGTTGCAGGCACAGGGAGTCTGAAGCCTGGACCAGTGGTAGTGGTAGGAATCTGGCCATACCTGGGCAGGATCTGAGAAGGGAGGGAGGAGCAGATAGAGAGCAGAAGCTGAGCCTCTGCTACCAAGGTGGCTTCTCCTTAAGCTTTTCTTAAAAAAAAAAAAAAAAAAGTGCATTCGTGTGTGTATGTGTGTGTGTGTGTGTGTGTGTGTGTGTACTGCTCATCTTAACTGAAATACAAGACAGAACATAGGTGGAACTACAGTGGTACTTGTCATTAATTGGTTGTGGGAGGTGCAATAAGTACCCAAAACAACAAGCACCAAACAAATTGGTTTGGTTGGTATTGAATCCCAAGGCAACTGACACCAACAAAATTTTCATGTCAAAATATGTCAGGTACCAAAACTGACAAGTTTTAAGGTATGAGCATAGTCCTCCACTACGCATCTGTCAGCATAAAGCTTTAGTGTATCCTTCCTCAGTGGCAGTCCCCAGAACCAGGTAAATCATTGCAAAATAACCTTTATTACTGACATTGACACTATTACATAAGACCACTAAGATGCATGGTTCTGAGCCCAGTCTCACCATGTGCGGAACCTATTTGGTTCTTTTCCCCAACCTGACTGTGGAAACCACCCCCCCAAAAAAACCCCTCTATTTTTCAGCATTTATTGAGCACCTCCTATACTGTTGGTACCAGACTCAAGAGAATATTAACAGTATATCCCTGCCTTTGAAGGAAAGCCAGAATGCTTTTTTCAGGTTCATTTTTAAGTGATTTAGAAGATAAGGGTAGCTAGGTATTGTTTATGTAGATTGGGCACTACTTTAAGGAATATAGTAATATCTTTTGCTGTGATCCATAATTATAATAATGTTCATATTTGCATAATGCTTTGCAGTTTCTAAAAAGGTTATTCATGTTTAATTTCACTTAGTTTTTTTATGACAATCTTGTGAGGTGGGTGACCAGAGTATCCTTATCCTCAAATTGTATAGGGAGAAACAGGACACCAAGTGAGTGACCTGCTGAAGTTCTAAAGCTGGTCAGTGGTGAAGCTAAATCCCAATGTTATGACTTTAAATTTAGGGGCCTCATTACTATTCTCCTTCCTTTAAGAAAAAACTAGGAGATACACTGTGAACTCCTGCAGCAGTAGATTTGTCTAGGTTACTGCAGGCTTCTACTCACACTCCTACAACCATGTGCTATGCATATCAGACAATAATGCAGGATTATCAGTTGATATTAAAGTTCCAGCAGTGAGAGAGAATAGAAACTGTCACCCTTCTCTTTTCTCATCACTAGATTTTAAAGATTCTGACAACATGCCTTTGCTTGTGTTCACTATCCTGTATAGAATTGCACCTAAATATTTGTTAGTACAGAAAATTTCATTTCCCAGATGTCTAGGGCATTCCAGATAGGAGCTTAAAGGATGACACTACCACATTTGTGAAACTTTTCACTCACATTATAATATCTATCTTATCTTCAGTCTGATGACAAGTTTGAGAAATCCCTTGGAGAATTTGGACTTTGCAACTGCTCAAGACAAGACAAGTGGACAGTTTTAATAACCTTCCTGTGAATATTATAAAGGCCTTCAGAAAGGATCATTAGCACTACTCCAGAGGTAAGTCAGGTATTAGACTCAAAATTCAAGGCTCCAGAAAATGCTCATTTTGTTACCATCTTCTAGAATTCATCCAGAGCTGAGAACAATTTATTTTAAGCTAAAATAAGCATTTATTTTAACTCCAGTTGCTCAAATTTAAGAAAGTGGCATTATCTTAGGGAAGCGACATTTGATGGTTTTCTCTTTGGTATGAAATGAATTTTAGTTTTTCTCTACGGCCAATAGGCATGATGATGAAATAATCCATGGATGATTGTTGACCTCAGCTACCCAACTTGTATTCAGCAAATACAAAATCTACTTCAGTTGAGTCTCTACCCTATCAGCAGGGAAGAAAGGGGACAATTATTTGGCGATAATTACTCTGAAGGCAGTAATCTCTGGCAGCTGTAGAGAAGAGACATAATTACCTCCTACCACCCCTAACCTTTTAAAATAGAGCTCTGAAAGCTTGATAAGAGGGGCTGAGGATGTGTGTACAGCCTCGAAATAACTCTCTGTCCACTTCCATCACTCAGGCTTTAATTAAATACAATTCATACTTCTTCAGAAACTTGAGATGATTCACATTAAGGAAGTTTATAAATAAGGGGCAGGGCCATACAAATGTCACACATTCCTACATTGTTCAGTTCCTCTTGTCCAAGTCAGGCTTTTTCCAGCTCCTGCACTGAAGCCTGCTTTTTCTCCCTGAGGTGATAAAGGTAGAGTTGGAGAAGAACTGGATTCTTTCCTGGAAATTTTGGGAGAGGATTGCAGAAAGGAAGACATGCAAATAAATATGGAAGTTAAAATTCAGATAAGTACCGATGATTGGCAATTGTATGCCATAAAGTGCTTTTCTCGTGGAAATAGATTCTTAACAAAGGAAGAAAATACTTCAGAACCTTTTAAAAATGACTTTACTCAGTCTTTCTCCAGCTTTCTGAAAACTTAACTATCCAGCTCATAGTAGCATTTGAAAGTAGAAGAATGCTCATTCAGTTTTATGTTGTGATTTTTCTGGCTGTTCTCTGAGAAGCAGAGAAAAATGGGTCAAATGGCAAAGACATGTAGTCAGAGGTAGGCTGTTGATGATACAGACTGCAATGGTTTACTTTCACAATATAAATAAATATGCCTTTTTATGTGTTGCACACAAACTTTGGGTGCATTTTAAAATCTGATGAAAATATTTTGGTATGGAGATTCTTCTGTCCATTTCAAACTGTTTGATTAAATACTCTAAGCATAAATTGTTAGCAATGTTGAGAAATTCACAGGGTCCTAATTATGCATTTAAATGTATTTAATGAAAGCCAGACATGGGCTTTCATTGTTAACTCCCTAGCTACTTTTCCCCATCCCTTCCTAAAGCCTGCAGCTCCACACATCATGCTGGTCATAATTCATGGACATGTTGTAAAACATGGTTCCCTCTCCTCTCCTGATCCTTTGTCCGTGTCTCCATCTCACCAGTGGTGCACAATCCATTGTATTGCACTTTTATAGCACACCCCTGTTACAATGCAGCTGCTGGTTGAAGATTAATGAGCATGGCTATAAAGAACAAGAGCAAGAGCGAGGCCAAGACAAGTTTACTGCATCACATGCGATACTAGGCTTCCTGCTGAAGTTGTGTGACTCCATGGGTTCTCTAGCATGTGAATGCTTTGCTCCTGCTTCAAGAGTTACTAAGTTGGTACTATTAATGTATCTGAGTAGGAAAGTGTCAGAAGTCTCTGCAAAAAGGTACATGGTACATTCCTCTTGTCTCCAGTGAGTAATGTTGCAAATAAGTACTGCCCATTTCTAGTTGTATTCATGTGACAGAATGAATCTGCCTGGCTTGACTGCACCCAGAGAATGAGTGTAACAACCTTCTTGATTTCTGGAGTTCTGAAACAGCCTTCTCAAACCATAATGAGCGCCAAGATCACTTGCAGGTCTTGTTGAAATGCAGGTTCTGCTCCCATAGATCTGGAATAGGGCCTGTGATTCTGTATCCCTGAAGGACTCAGTGATCTCAGCCTTGCTGGTTGTGGGCTACATTTGAGGTGCAGCTGCTAGTGGATCCTGGAACAAGGAAAGATGAGTATATGGGATCCACATTGACTCCTTTGGTCCATCTCAGACCTGAGTTTAGAAATTGAGTCTCCTTTACATACTTTAAGACACAGGATGTTTGATACTTTTTTCTTTGTTGTTGATGATTTGAACTACAACTATATCTGGAATACATTTTAGAAAAAATTCTTATTGTACATATTTGTTTATCAGTGCAGTTAAACACATGACTTGCTACTTATTAACACCAATCATTGTTGTCTCCACCTTGATAGCAGTATTAATGTGAGCACTATCAGTTATCTTAGCTACAAAAAACATCTGTGTGGGGTGATTAACAATGATTTTTCCCTTGGTAATGACAGTGAGCCCACAAGTGGGTCTGGAACAACCATCATTTGGTGGTTGATGGTCTCGTTCAGACTCAGTCAACTTGTCACTTAAAATTGCTTTATCTGATGGTTAGACCTCTGTCTCTTCCCTGCTGGAATCCTCAATCTGTGTCCACATATTAGAATTGTATGAGAGCTATATGAAAATTGATGAGTAGAATCAATTTCTATCACCCTGAAGTTTAAATGGAAGACAGCAGGCCCATTGTTTACTTTGTCCCATAGATTATAAAGAAAACACATGGAAGGTTCCTTTCACTTTCTTCCTTCTTAGAAGTAGAAGAGATGGACCCCACATTGTAGGTCTGTAGAGGCAGGAGTCCCAATCATACCATTCTCATTTTCTGCCACGGTCTTCTCTTTGCCTCCTTTCTCAGCCTGTCACAGGTTAAAGAGGAATCGCAGAGCTGTGAAAGAGGTTTCTCTAGGCAGCCTCTGGGTCTTATGGAGTGTGGTCATTGTGGAGTGAAAGATGGGTGGGTACAGGGATTAAAGGGAGAGAAAGTGGATCCAGAGTGTCATTTCCAAGCTGCGGGGCCAGAGGCTGCTGACTTCAGGCTGGAAGCATGTGGGAAAGCATGTGAGTGAGCTTGGAAACCAGGGCCTCTATGAGGGTCTCATATGTTTGGAACTCTTCATGCCGGTGAAGTGCTGTGCTGATGCTCTCTCCATGCCTTGTTTAAGGATTCCTCCTTTAAATAGTTCTGTGTAGCCAATCCTCATAGCCTCATTTTAGAGAAAGGCACTCATGTATGGCAAAGAGAGATAAAGCATTTGGCTTCACTGGACTGCTAAAAGTCAGAGCAGTCCTGGAACTTAAGCCTGCCTCCTAGTCCCTTGAGATTCTACCCCACAAAGCAGGGCAATGTGGGAAATAGTAAGACTTTTTGTAACCTAAGGCAGATAACAGGGCGGCAGGCAGGCTGAAATCCAGAGACAAAACTGGTGCTGGTGACAGTTTACATTGTTTAAAAATCCACCCTATTTGTTGAATCCAACAGTGGTGTTGATAGACTTAGTTTTTACAGAAGGCTAATTAAGTGCCCTTTTAGAATTTCCATATTCTGTGCAGAATTAGGTTTCTTAATGCTACTTGGTCTGCAGATAGTTACAATAGAAATTTCTTGGTGTGCAAGGAGCTAATGATGGTACTAATGGTTCGTCTCATAATGTCAGGGACCAGAAGATCCCCATAGGATGTTCTAAGAAATATCACAGAAGTCAACTCAGCTTCTTTGTGGTTCAACCACAAATTGCTAAGGGTTTGTTTGAAGTCCTGGAATTCTGAAGGTTATAGGCCCACCCTGTAAAAGAATGCTGAGCTCTGTACAATCCTAGTGGGAGGAACCAAACCTACTTAAGGGAATTTAAACATGAGTTGAAATCCTCAAATGTTTATCATGAGGAATTGAAATTTGTGGTTGTAGGAGTCATCTATGCCAGCACAGGTTAAACTTTACTGTGCATAGGAATCATTTTGTTGAAATGCAGATTTTGTTTTCCTGGGGTGTGGGGAGAGTACAGAGCTCTGTGTTTCCAAGTTTCTGGGCAGTGGAGATGTTGGGGGCCCACAAAGCACTCTTGAATAACAAGGATCTGCGGTACTGTTCCCTTCCTTCTTCCTGTTCCCTTTCTCCAGCCACATCAGACTCACTCACTTCATGATAATTTTAATTAGGGAGGCAGAATAACCAGAAAAACAGAGCAAATCTTCTGAGCAGATTCCTTCTAGGAATCTTTGTGGAAGCATATTTTGACTGTACAAAGAGGTTACAAGGACAACAAAAATATGGGGGTGGGTTGTAGTCAAATATACTTTGGAAATGTTGCATTGGAAGTTTAATAGATTTCTTCCTTTAATTATTTTTCAGAGCCTTTAATTGTTTAGTGTATATTGTGACTCACCAGGGGTAAATTTTCTCAAATTCATTTGACTGAAGAATATACTTTTTGGAAAATGTAAAGTGCATAATGTTCACTGACAATGGCTATTTCAGACACTGACATTGGTGGTCACATGAGAGAAGTGCCACTTCCCTATTGTGCAAATGTGAAATTGTTGCTATTTGCATAAGATCAGAGTAATTTTGAAATAACCTGAACCTTAAAAAAAAAAAAAAAAGAAGCAGTGTGATGGGTTTGCTGTGGGTCATACGCATGTATAAAGCTGGCCATGTGATGTGGAAGGGGAAAATTGATATGCATTATTTATTTTTTGTAGTAGGCATGGAAATGCAACCCCAGCCTGGCTTTATGTTTTATTTTAAGAGGATCTTGCTATGTCACTAAATTTTACAGGCTGAGCTTGAACTTGTGGTCCTCCTCCACAGTTCCAAGATTACATACATGCACCATCATTCCCAACCAGAACTGAAATAAACATATGAAGAAAGAGTTAAGCAAATAAAGTGGAGAAATCATCTAGAGAATCCTGACATGTAGAAAGCAGTTAGTCAAGGAGTCAGTTAGTCCAAGGAGAATAATTATATACAGGACACAGAGTTTATCATATTATTTTATGATGGTCAACCAGAGTTAAATACAAGAAAGTGCAGGAAA